CCCCTTCCCCTTCCCCCCCCACTCCCCGCCCCCCAAATGTTTTTAAACACGATATAATTTGTCAGGGCTCCCACATTAATGCTCTGGATGCCAGCCCATTCTCATGACTTCAGTAGTGCTGCTGTTAGCCGGAGCCTGGAGGCAGCAAAGACTGTTCTTCAAGCATGCTCCGGGGGATTGCCTCCCACCTTTCTCACCTGGCAGCTGGCCTTGCTCTGGCCATGGCCTCGAAGGTGAGCAGTCACAGTAATAAATGGCCTTGTGCCACAGTACTCCTGAGCGTTGGTGGTGCATTCGGAATTGGTGCAGGACTTCTTGTTGCCCACGGGAGGAGATGGTCTTGGAGCTGTTAGAGCTGGCTTGCCCTAGACCAAGTTTTGGAAGCACATTGATGCTGGCCTGGTGGTGATGACAGCTCTTCTGTACCTGCATAGTGCTGTATATCAAGGATCTGAAAACTTCAAAACAGTAGCACAGAAACAGTATTTGAGAAATTAATGTTCAGTTATCATCATGCGTAGTTACAAGGGTATCAATTCTGGTTGCATGAAGCGCACTTAATGTGGCATTTCCTACCTGATGAGTGTTTCTTGGTGCAGGTTTTTCTCCAGTAAAACAATTACAAATATCTATTTCCAATTCTGGTTGGTGAGGAGGGAGGCAAAAGAAAGAAAATCTTATGCAGCAGCTGTACATTGTGTATCTGTATGCAGCTGTAGGTTTTCTTTTGTGTAAGTTAAACTGCCAAATGTTTGACATCTGCTTTTGGGAGTACTTTAATGTTATTTTTTGAAGGCAGCATCTCAATTACTTTAAATTTGCCTAAAACTAGAAAATGCGTGTCGAACTAGAATTAAACAAGAAAAAATTCATGCTCAAGATACAGCATAAATACGGTGACCTACATTCAGAAAGAAGAATAGATGGGAAGTATAAAGCATTAATTTCTTACTAAACTCTCTTATCACTTTTCTCATGGAGTGACAAGACAGAATAAGTAGTCCATTGGAAATAGATTTCTCTTCTTTACTGAAATCTGTGAATGTGGCTTTTTAAGGAAGGTGTTCCAGGCTGGGGAAGCAAAACAAAATAAAATTAAGGAAAGTTCTCCATCTCATGTATTCTGGGAACTCATCTAATGAAATCCTTTAGCATCCATTCTTGTAAGGTGCTGAGATTTAACACTTGGGAACAGGTTCTGTCCCTGATGAGAGCAATATTATTTCTCTGTTATGCCCTGGTTCAGTTTTAGCTGGAGCTTCTCAAATACCATGGTCCTGTTGGCCTGTAAGGTGCACCTTGCCTTGCCTGACACGTTTGGAGCTAACAAGGGTTTACAGCTAGTAAGCACCTGTGTTCTCTGTGCATCCTTTACAACTGACAACAGAAAATCTGGGGAAGGTTTCATCGAGAAGGTCTTAATATAGATGTGTTGTTACAACACAGCAATGAACCAATTATGTAATGTTGTGTAATTCATTAAGCACTATCCATCTATTTAATGTGAGAAGTGGAACATGCAAATAGATGTGATTGTCTGTAAGATGGGTTGGGATAGTTTGGGAGGACACTTTTTTTTTTTCTGTCTAAACAGCTGGGTTTATAGATGAGGGTCTATACCACCAAATACCATGTTATAGTATCAGTAGCTGACTTCACCACAGGCTGTCTTTGGTGAAAGATGGATGAGATATAAAGAGTGTATTACATGTCCCCCATCAGTAGTGTCAGCATCCAAAAGCGCATAAGCAGAGTAACGCTGAAAGCTTGTCTTTCTACTTTTTTCTAGTGTATCAACTGCATATAGCAGTTTAATTTCAAGGGCTTTTCTTTTAAATATAAGCATT